AAGAAACCAAATAGTTTGTCAAAGTGTGCGTCGGATAAAACACCAAATAGATTGTCACTTTTTTTATACATGTACATATTGAATATATAGTGTGTATTGTGTACAACAAGTTGAAGCATCCACATTAATCCCTTGGAACAGGGATGTGGCGGCACTAGTTGGACACACGACAATGAGGATTCAATGTTTGATTGATTTTTTGTATGTAGACTTATTTAACTTATTCACTTTTTGAATGAACATGCGAAGTTGGTTTCCAACCATTTCTGGCACGTTGGAGGTTGCACATGGCGCGTTGTCGTGTTGATTCTTGTTCCTGGGTTGTGTAAGTCCGAAGTGGCTCAACGGTTCCACATGTGTGGTGAGCTGGGTTTAGTTTTGCACCAACAAAACGTCACCTGTCATTCGCCTTCACCATCGTAGCGCTCTTCCACATGAGTGTCAGCAAAACTGTTGCTGTACTTCATCAAACCTTAGGTTTTGGGTCAAAACTTCTGTTCCCAGCGCCGGCTAAAATTTACTTTTGCGACCGTTCAGTCAGAATGAATGCACGCAAGGCAACCCAGCACCTTAGCATCTTGAGTTCGTTTGTTCTTCGCAATGCTGGATTGATGCTTCGGGTGCATGCAATAATCCATGTTGTGAAATATCATTGGGCGGCGAAACATGGCCATGTATGGGAATGTGGCAACTTAGGATATTTCCAGCAACCCTTTGCCAGACCCCTGGAACCTCAGACGATGAAACGTCAGATGTCACTCGGATGATTTTTTTTGGCAATTAAAAACCGCGACCCGCGGCGAAACCGGACTTGTCGAGACAAAATGGCACAAAATGAATCGCCGTTCCATGCGGTTCAAAAGAATCGGTTTTAACTGAGCCGGGATGCGGCGACATTGCCAATCAAGAACTTCTCCCTGAATCGAACGCCGCACATGTGATCGCGGCCAATTATGGCCAAACATACATTTTCGAGGTCCTTGAAACTCCACATGCTGAAAGGCAGCGCCCAGGGGGCCCTGAAACCTCCGAAGATGAAATTGCTGTTTTTCATTGTTTTTCCCCCAGCCGTGTGTTCACCTTTGGGGTTTTTACGGTAGTAGTTAAAGATGTTAAAGCCTCTTGTTGGGTATTGTTGGTTCAAGGTGGTCTCCTGCAGGTCCGGCTAATTTATTTGATGGCGACCCTTGCAAGGCGAAAAGTTTCTCGATCTTCCGTTTTTGAAGCAAACCTTCCATGAAACGTTGGCCTCAAGACATCTCTTGCGGAGGTGTGTTCTCGCTTGCCGTCTCCCATCATGTTTGGGGCTAACCACGTTTCTTTTGCCAGGTCATTTTTCGCCAGAAGTCCGAACCTCGCTTTGCGTGGCAGGGGCAAGACATCAGACACCTTTTCATCCGCGTGGCAGGCGCGGTATTTCGTGCACGTTGCTAAAACTTTGGCACGCGCGGGTGGCAACCAGAGGTGGTTTTTGTGGCAAGCGCAATATTAGGTGAAGTTGGACGGTTGGATCATGCTTTGAAAGGCTCGAAAGTCTCGTTGTCTCGTTTGGTAAAAGTGTACATGATACGATTTGGTACATGACAAGGATGATGATCATTTGCGTTGCAGGCGCAAGACTTCAGATGCCTCAGGCCCATTTTTGGTGGCAAGTGCGGTATTCCAGAGACCCCCAGGTAAAACATCGCTTTCACGTTTCCAACTGTCATTTTTTTCTGGTGCACGCAGCACTTGGCGACTGTGACATGTGCTCGCACAACCCTCTCGTCATTTTGTGCGTGTCAGATCGTTCTCGTTGTTGAGCGGTGCTCATTTTCATGTCGCTCGCGACATCAAATATCGTCATTTTGTGCGTGTGAGCTCAATTTCGTTGTGGCGTGGTGCTCATCTGCGCAACCCTCCCATCACTTTGTGCGTGTCAGATGATTCGCGTAGTGGCGCAGTGCTAATTTTGATATCACTCGCCCACCCTCCTCGTCACTTTGTGCATTATGGGATCGCTCTCGTTGCAGCGTGGTGCTGATTCTTTCAAGGAGATCTTGTATAGAGATTTTGCAAAGCGGCCGCTTTTCGAGATCTTGCAAAGAGATCTCCTACAGTCTTACAGAGATTTGGCACAGAGACGTTTCAAGAAGATCTTGCCACGATATCTCTGTACAGAGGTCTTGTATAGAGGTTTCTCACAGAGATCCTGGCAGGAGATCTTGTGCAGAGAGTTTGTACAGAGATCTTGCCAAGAGACCTCATGGAAAAATATTCTACAAAGATCTTGTGGAGAGATCTCTTGTTGCAGAGATCTTGCCAACAGGTTTCTTACAGAGAGACCTTGCGTGGAGATGTTCTATAAAGAGTTTGAACAGAAATCTTGCATAGTGATCACTGACAGAGATATTGCATCGAAATCTCTTATAGAGAGGTTGTGCAGAGATCTTGCGTAGACATCTTTCACAGAGATCTTGCCAAGAGATCCCCTACAGAGACCTTGTGCAGAGATCCTGCCCAATGACCTCTCTCAGAGCAGAGATCTTGCGTGTAGATCTCTTCTAGAGACCTTGTTCAGAGATCTTGCATAGAGATCAGCCTAAGCGGCCTTGCCAAGAGATACCCTACAGAGACCGTGCAAAAAGATCTTGCAAGGAGACCTCTGGTAGAGACCTTGTGCAGAGAACTTGCATACAGATTTCCCACAAGGATCTTACCAAGAGACCCTCTGTTACAGAGACCTTTCACGAAAATCTGGCACTGAACCTTGTACAGGGATCTTGTATAGAACTCTCTGACAGAGATCTTGGCCAGAGATGTTTGTAGAGAGTTTGTGCAGAGATCTTGCTAAAAGACCTCCTATCGAGATATTGTACGGAGATCTTTTATATAGAGAGTTCCTACAAACATCTAACGTGTAGAGCTCTTCTACAGGGATCTTGCCAAGCGATCTCTTACATATATAGAGACTTTGGCAAAGAGATCATCTATAGGGATCTCTGACGGGGATGTTGCCCAAAGACCTCTCTCGTACACGATCTTTTGCAGGGAGTTTCACAAAGAGAACTACGCTGGCAGTTCTTCTCACGTTCTTTGCGGTATTTTACAAGGATCTTGACAAGGGGAACTTGCAGAATTATCCCAGGAATCCCAGGTATCTGTTCCTTTTGTTCTGTGCAACACTGTTTGGGTTCTCCTGCCGGGATATTTTTTATGTTGTTGTTTTTTCCGGGCGGGTTAACATGTACTAGTACATGTTTTGTGTGATGATACGATGTTGAACTGATTTGAAAAATCCACAATGTTTTGTTCGCATTCTTTAATTTTACTCTTCCGGTCCAGACACCAGATCATGTTTTGCCGAAACGTGACACAACCGGCCGAAGCAAAAAACAGAAGAAAACACAGGTTTGCAACCACAATTGTGGCAGATTTTGATTACCTTTTTTGTTCAACCCATGATCTCTCAACTCTCTTCTGGAACCACGCTTGCGCCTGGTCAACATGGATCGTTCCATACAAGTTCCGCGGACGCCCAACACTTTCAAGTTTCAGTACACGCCAGTATCAATCCAGTATCCTAAGTCCACTTTGCCATTTTCATATAAACTGGATAATTTAGCAAAATTTCGTTGAACACATTCAGTTTCAAGAGCGTGGCGCAATTGGAATAAAATAATGTGAGCAGACGTGCTAGTTGATGAGAATCCGCGGCTGCTAGAGGCTCTGGCAAATATTTACTGATAGGATTAATTCATAGTAGGAGGGTTGTCCACAAATGGCAGAAGAAGGAGGTTTGCCCACGACAACGGCAACTTCGTCAACCAAAAAAGGCTATAATCTCCAAGAGACTGTGTCGGTCGGATGCTCAGTTTTAAGTTGCTGTGTTGATGTGTTTCATGCTGATCCCCTTGTTATTCAGATTGCGTGAGGTTGTGGTGGACAACGTTTGGCAGTATGTGCACATTGGAGCAGCAGGATTCCTCTTCTACGAAGATAACCTCCTTGGACTGTATAGTTTGCTGGGTTTCGCCGCATTGTGCTGTACCTTTTTTGCAACAAGGGGTTTTCACATGTTTCACAGTGTTTTCTTGCCCGAAACTCATGGCAATTTGCCAAGGCGGCGTTATGGTTGCATCTACAGGAGGAGTGATTCCAACGATGGGCGAAGAATTGTGGAGAATTGCCATCCCAGCCTCAGCTATACTTTCAGTCACAACCTCATTGCCGAGCCCCCAGAGCAGCCATTGGATATTATTGGATGGTGCCCCTATTGGATGTTTCCCCCGATGGTTCCGTAATGTTCCGTAGGCCCAGTGAAGGTTCCCCTAGTTGGTTTCGACGCCCAGGGGCTGCCGGGTGGCGGGTTGGACATCAGCCTGGGTGACGTGTTGTTTTTGCGTCTTGCTGCCCATGGCAATACTGGCTTTGACCACCGTGACCATCAAAAATGACAAGACAGCCCGATTGCAACGAAGCTGCAAATGGCAAGACCAGTTTGTGTTAATTGCGGGCAATTCTGTCAAAACGCAGGAAGTTGAGATGGTTTCTGGATTGTCCTTGGGTTTTCGAACCTGAATTGTATTTGCGCAGTCCCAGCTGTGTCACGGCCCAGGCGTTTGTGAAGCGCGCATGAAATTTTCCGGTGAGGAACAGTGTATCACCTGAGCCTGGCAAAGGCCTCGGTTTTGCATCACGCCCCAGTAGCAAGTATCAGCGTTGTGGTGAAGTGTCTCAGATTGGTCACCGGCTGTGCTGACCATTGCAGTACAAGACAAGTTCACGGTTTTGGATGGTGGCAATTTGTCAACTTGACCACTTCGCGCTGAGCTTGGGTATAGGAGCAGGTGCTAGAGTCTGCCAGAGCAGCGCCAAAAGAATCCAAAAGATGATTCTTGGAAGTCGACAGTGAAGGGATGCAATTTGTGTATGGTTTCCGCATGTGCACCACCATTTTTCACATCCCAAACCTCCATGGAACAGAATTGCTTTGGGCTGTGGGCTCAGATCCAATTAGAAAAGCGCTTTGGTTTGCCTCTACTCCAAGGTGGCCCCTGCAGACATTGTACATGTGCATGTCAAAGTGCCGGCCGCTTCGCATCCACGAGGACAAGATGTTGTGGACACCTTTGGATGCAGAGAAACTCTTGCTGCACAATGACGTCCTTTCTGCTTCCAGCCCTCAAAAGTCAAGACAGGCTCCAGATTCTGAGTTTCAATCACTCACACAACTACAGTTTGTTGGATGGAATCTGTTTTCGACCTTATCCCGTTCCACGCGTGCCCCAGGCAATTCCAAAGTGCTGCTCCCAGCGCAGACGCAGAGCGCAGTTTGGAACCTCGCCGTTGCACATGACTAAGGCCTCCAAGGCTCGGACATAGACATAGCTTGGCGTTGGTGCAGAGCAATTTCTGGGGGTCAGGGCCTCAGAGGGGACCAGAGAGAGAGAGAGAAAGAGAAAAATATGTGATGTATATATATATATATTTATTTATTTATTTATAGATATAGTTATATTTATATATATATATGCGTGTGTGTGTGCGCGTGTGTGCGTTGATTTCATTATGTGTGTGTGTGTGTGGCTATGTCACTGCCGAAGAATATCTCGGTCCTAAAGCAGGTGTCCCATGATGGCCTATGATTTTCCAATGTTCAAACGGCCATCTTTCAGGGAATAGCCTCCAGGTGTTGCAGTCATCAAGTGTCTCGCCCAGACTTGGAGGCCTCCTTCAGCCACGGTTGGGAGAACTGCTGGAGGGATTTGCTAGGACACTGGCCTTTTGAAATCGTTTAAATGTCTTCAAACAGCTCCGTTTGAATCCTTGGTGCCACTAGCACTGCGCCTTGCTGAGACAAGGCATGCTGTTTGAGCCCCCGGCTGAGCCAGCCAAGCCAGCCAAGCCAGCCCAGTCAGCCAAGTCAGCCCAGCAGGCTGGATAGCATCTGCCACAATTTGATTTTCAAGTTTTTGTCTGGTCAAAATGATAGGCCCATGGCGCAAAGTTTCGATCTGAAAAGATTGGAGCAGAGTGCCCCGAATCGCCACATTTGGTCTCCTGAGTTTCTGGCTTCGAAAGAGGCACGACATAGGAAGACTCATTTTTTCCAACGAAATATTGACCAGGACAGTGTTGAAACCTCCGGCAGGCACCCGTGATGCCCATGGCATGTACCGGCCCAGTGCTCCCAATTGGAGGATGAGTTATTGAACGGTGTGACCACAAAAAAAAATGCGATATGCAATTTCCCTTTGTCAAAAACTATTTCTAGCCATTTGCAGGAGCCAAACAAATGCACGTTGAGATGAGTGACTGCAGCTGCTGCACAGCGGTGGAGGCCACCGAACAGCAACCATAGTATGAATAGTATGTTTGTAAAGCCATAGGTTTATCACGGATGCGTATATATAATATAATATATATATACATAGAATATATGTGTGTGTGTGTTATATATATATGTGTGTGTGTGTCTGTAAATGTATATGTATAAGTATGTGTGTATTATATTGTATTTTATTTTATAGCATCATATTATATAATATAATATTATATTGTATTATTTTATATTATATATATATATATCATGTCTTATAATATTTTAATATATATATATATGTATATATATGTATATGTATATGTATATGTATATGTATATGTACGTGTGTGTGTGTTTATGTATGCATCTACGTGTATGAGTCTAAATGGATGCGTATGTACACACAGATGCACACGCAAATACATATATATATATATCTCTCTCTCTCTCCCTGTCTCATTTACAGAGAACATATCTCCGCGTGTGTGCGTCTATATTGTATGCAGAGCTGAGCCACCTGATCGCAAACCAAACATTGAACACATCTGAATTTGTATATCAACCCTGTCAGCTTGTTTTGTGTGGAACTGCTGACGTATAGTACAGGTAAGAGACAGCAAGAGTTTCACAGCTTGTATTGTACCACGGTGAGGTATCTCGCAGGGATACCATGCCATCCTTGGACGCCGTGAGCACGTTGTCCTTGAAGGGCCATTTGCAAGAGGCAGCCTGCTTTCGTCCCCGATAACCTCAGACTTCAAGCAGACAAACCTGAAGATGTTGCAAGGTATTGGAGGCCAACGAGCAAAACCTTCCAACTGCCTTGTCAAATGTATTTGGAGAAGTCAGGGCCTCAAAACGAACAAACACTTGGAGCATACTTGGAGTTTGTTATCTAGCTGCCTTTGGCTATCCGTGGTTGATGTCCTATTCGGTCAGGATGGTCTATCAGCCATCTTTGGTCGTTCATCTGCTGACGGTGCAAAACGATTGCGCTGCGGGGGCTTTAACCATGCCATGGTCCGAGCGAATTTTGAACGAGAGCAACCGAAAGTGTGACGGAAGATACTGAAAAACGTCTTCACTGCAGCTTGCGTGTTGATCGGAATCTAGCATACTGAGGTCTTCATGATTGAGTTAGGTGGCAAACTTGCCAAATGCATCAGGCACAAACAACTACTTTCCACTCAAAGAGATTTAAAGAGTGCAAGACTTGCAAGTCTTGCCTAGAGTCGTCCGTATCAAAGAGGTTCAAAGCAAAGTGGTTCAAAGTGGTTCGGATGTTAGCACACATCATCATGCGTCGATGAATATGTGGGAGGCCACATGGTGGTGCTGGCGGGGACTGCAGCGAAGTTGTGGAGTCTGAAAGGCTTCGGCATCATTTCCCAAGCTTGTGTCAGGAGATCCAAAGCCAGGGTTTCCAGTGCAAACTGACGCAGTGTGATGTCCTGATGTTTAAAAAAATGTGACAAGGCATGCACACTCAAAAATACCTGTGACCTTACAGGATCAGCAGGTACTTTTTCCTCAAGCAGCCTTCTTGTGCAAGGGCATGGCATCAACACGCTACATTTGCGAGGCAGGTACAAGAGCATCCAGCTTTAGTTTTAATGTCGACCCAGTGCCGTAATATGGACGGGTCCATTTCCAACAAAGATTCTCATGTTTTCGCTGGGGAGCAGGCCCTAGGATTGAAGACTTCAACACCGTCACAACTTTGCTGGAAGCAGACAGGGAATTCTTGGAATTGGATAGGATGAAGGCAAAGATCTCAGGACCCCCCCAATGATTGTTGGTAACAACCATTTAAAAAAATCATGGTGTTCTGGATTTTTTGCCCACTTAAACCAACCGAATGACGGACACAGGTCATGGTCTTTGACTTTCTCCCGGGATGCCAATCAGTTGCCGACCTGTGCCGTGACTTTGAGCGCACACACCCGTGCGGAGTGCGTCGGCAAGCTGCTTCATGTGCAGAACACAGGGCGCTTGAGGAGGACAAGGTGATTTCATTTGGTTGATTTTATGGCTTCTTGAAAGCCTATTTGTATCTATGTGTTTGTCCCCAACAAAATTGAGACACCCCAAAAATGCGTTCTTTTGTTGAAGGCTAATGACACACCATGATATTTTTGCCAGGGGTATGTCTGAAAATGAGGCCTTCCCCCATTTTATGGTCATTGGATTTGGGAAATTTCGGAATAGGATGAGTTCCACTGTCGGAGAACCCCATTGGACCATGGAATCTGACGTTTGTTCCATGGCGGAGCCTCGGAGCTCGGCCTGGCTCCAGGTGAACTGTGAGCATTTCCGAGCTCTACAGGCCTTGGTGCGACGAGCAGCCAGCCTGGGGCGGCACTTCCAACAGGTGCATGGCCGCCGGCATGGCGACTTCAAGGACGGCATGGCGATGTGGGTCACGTGGGATCTGCTGATTCTGGAAAAATTGGCTAATGGGGTAGGGATGTGATATGGAGATTAGGTATGGTGATAACCAGCAAGAATGTTGATATTTGCCAGTAAAACATTAGTTTTTCACGTCCACGGCAATTGTGCTTGCCTATCTCTCCACAGATATCTTTGACAGATTTTCAGGCTGACAATATCTTGGTGGATCAGCATGGAAATCTCCTACTCTCAGACTTCCTGAGCCCGTTCTGTGCTGCCTGTGCCGGGAGACCCAGGTCACCGTTTACCTTACAAGTTCCCGCAGTTCAGTCAGAAGAGCATGGTTGGAGGAAATTGCCCTGCAACATGGAAAACTCAATGAAAATCATAAAGGCACTAGGACAGTGCAGGTCTACACCAGCCTCAGATGAGTAACCAGGAGAGGGAGTAGGACAGCAGACACGCTCCCAAACTCAGGACCGAAATGAGTTTCAGACGTCTATCCAGAGCGGCCACCCGATATGTCAGGAGACTGGGATGCCCAAAAAGCTCCAGCTCGAAACGAAAACAGCACGCATTTCGACAGATGCTGTGGATAGATATTTTGCAAGCCAGGACTTGCAACAAGTTTTTGAAGAAGAATGGCAGGTACGTTGCCTCGGGTGGGTCCTTGTTTCGTTTGGGCACCCTTTAATCTGTTGCCTTGGGAATGCGCAGGCACCAGCCTGCCAGCTGTCCAATGAGGCAAGGCCAGATCGGCTCATACAGTCAGATGCAAGATTTTGACCACGGTTCCAGGCGGCTCAGCGAAGACAAGTTGCGTGGCTGGCAGGAGAGATGCGCAAGCTCAGTGAGGCCGGCATCCTGCTGTTGATAGGTCATAGATGAGTCATGACAATTGGTTGTGTTGAAGTATTTTGAACTGTTGAAGCCAGGTTTCCAGCCAACAATCGATCTTTGGGCCCGGGCCTCAGTTCCGTAAGACTCCGCTCCGATTGCAACCTGCAGCTGGATTGAGGCCCCTCCCCGATCTGCTGCAAAGTATTTCGGCTTGGAGCTCACCACCCAAGATGTCAGCACCACAAGGCCCCTTTTGGAACCAAGGGATGGGCACAACATATGTGCCATGGTCATCCATGGTCAAGAGTTGGATTAATTACACACCTATATTGGGGGACGGTCGTCAGTCCACTCATGGGATGTCATAGAATTTCATAAGTATATATATATATATGTGTGTGTGTGGGGCATATGTATATAATTATATATATATACATGTGTGTGTTATATACATATGCACATATATATATATATATACATATATATATATGTATATATATATGTATATATATATATATATGTATATATGTGAAAAATGAACTTGACATGCATCATCTGCCTTGCATTGCACCTGACTCAGCAGCTCATATGAATCCATAGGTGCCCTGCTCAAGTACAGGGAAGCGGTGGGTGGGACAAACCTTCCGGTGCGAACGGTCCAAAAAGGCGCCATAGTGTCTGGGCTTGGAGGCCTTCATCTTGCGTGGTGGGATCCACTATTCCTTCATTTGATCTATATCAGTTGGGAACTGCTTCTTTGATCTTGTGGCTTGGGGCCACCTTTTCTCAGTTGGGAACTGACCATCCGTTGCCAGTGTGTGAGGGAGTGCCACCCCTTTCACACTGGTAGCGGAGCAACTGGTGCTCCGCTGCTGACAGTGCAGCGAAAGAGCTGGTGATCCAGGGTCATGATGATGCCGAGAGATGATGCACTTCCTCCCGTACCTCCGGAGGCAGCGGATGGATCTGTGATTTCCACATCCCAATTGCCCTGGGCGGCAATTCCTCGATTCCAGCCAGGAGTCACCAATGTCCAGGAGTACGTGAAGAAGCTAGAGTTCTTGGCGGCTATGTGGCCGGTTGAATACTTAGACCTTTTAGCACCTCGTGCTGCGCTTTTGGTGGAGGGGTCAGCCTTTGCAGCCATCTCCAAACTGGATGCGCAGAAGCTCAAGGTGAAGAGCTTGGATGGAATCAAGACCCTTGTGAATGCCATTGGAGGCAGCTGGGGTGCCACGGACTTTCAGGAGCGTTTCGAGTACTTCGAGCGCGCATTGTACGGCACCATCCAAAAGCAAGATGAGTCCAATGACAGCTTCATTGCCAGAATGGAAGCGGTGTTCTCAGAGCTTTTGAGTCGAAAGACTTCCTTGGAAGAGATCCAAGCATATGTCTTGCTGCGGCAGTCGACATTGCCGGCCGATGACAAGAAGCGTGTGCTCCTTGAAAATCCTCAGCTGAGCTATCCACCAGTGATGAAAGCTTTGAGGCTCCTCGGTTCCAAGTTCTTTCAAGAAGTACAAACCGGCAAAGCCACCCAGAAGACCAAGGTCTACGACACGATGGTGACTGAGGAAGCTTCTGATGGCAGTTGCATGGTTTCGCAATCGATGCCAGCGGACGATGACGAAGTCTCTCCCGAGTTCCTGGAAGCTTTGGTGTCTCAGGATGATCCAGATGCAATAGCTGTTCAGGCATTTGAAACGGAGTTTGAGGACTTTGTCCAGGACACCCCTGATATGCAGGTGGCCCTGATCTCCTACCTGGAAGCCCGCCAACGCCTTCAAGACAAGCGACGTGGCCGTGGTTTTTGGCCTGCCCATGGAACTGGCAAATCCAAGGGCAAGTCCAAGTTCAACAAGGGTTCCTTCAAGGGCCAACATCAAGGTCGACAGAACCTGCTGGCCAAGATCGCGAAGTCCAGATGCAGAAATTGCAATCAACTTGGCCATTGGAAAGCCGAGTGCCCTATGAAAGATCGTGATTCTTCCACGGCTCCCTCAACTTCCCATCCTCCTGCGGCAGCGGCCAACTTGGTGGAGTCTGAGCTGCGTGAAGCCGGTGGGACGATGGATGATGCTGAGATCTTCACTGACGCTGACTTGATGAAGGTGCACCATGATTTCTTTGACGTCTCACTCTGTGTACAGGAATGTTTCATGTCAGTTCACTTTTCCTGGAACAACCCCCAAAATAAGACGAAGTTAAGTAATTCCATGAAAAGACTGAATGCCGTCCAGCGACAGCCCATGAGCCATTCGCATAACCAGTGTTTCATGCCCTCTGCTCCAGCAGAGTGTAACCGTGTACAGTTCCGGCATCCGAAACATGTCATGCAGCCTGCCAGGACTGAGAAGATGGAATATCTCCCTGAGATGTCTGCCTTGCACTCCAGTGAAGCAAAGCCTGCCCATGCCATCCTGGATACTGGTGCCAGCCGTTGTATCATAGGAACCCAGCCTTTGAGCCGTCTTTTGCAGCGTTTGCCATCCGACGTTAGATCCACAGTTCAGCGGCGTGAAAGCAAGATCAAATTCAGATTTGGTAACAACCAAACCCTGACAAGCATGTACCGGGTTTTGCTGCCACTTTATGGTCCAAATTGTGAAAAGGTGTGGCTGGGTGTGGAAGTCGTAGAAGGCACAACGCCATTTTTGTTTTCCAAGAGAGCCTTCAAGCAGTTAGGCGGGATCCTTGACACAAACACCGACACATGTACGCTCCGAAGACTGCAAAAGACCATTGAGCTGTGCACCAACGCGACAGGTTTGTATCTCATTGACATGTCCGATTTTTGCCAATCTCATTTTGGGGAATCCAAAAACTGTCCGGAAGTCTTTGTTGGGAGTGCTAGTCATGTGGGGGAGAACACATCCAGCGCTAGGAAAACAAACACTATTCGAGCACAGTTGACCGTTGCGCCCATTCAGAAATATCAGAATGTTTTCACCAACCCGCCTTTGGATTCCAGTGTAGTGCCTGACGCCCCATCGTTCCGAGAGTCTTGCCAGAATGTCGAATCGCGAAGCCGCAATTCACATGCTGAAGGAGACGGCCAACACCATCATGGGGACTTTGACTCTTGTCCTCCAGGTGTCAATGAGCATGATCGAGATTCGCAATCCCGATGCAGCCGAGGAGGAGACAATGCCTCAACTGACCAATCAGCTGCGTGCCATGAATCAAGAGATGATGCGCCAGCGTGCCCTTCTGCAACAGCTGGCCGAGAATCAGAATGCTCAGATTCCTGGAAGTGGAAGCCTTCCACTCCGTCAGTTGCCGTTGCCGGAGCCCGTGATTGGCACCCAAGATGTACAAGCCATGCCAGTTTCGGCAACACTGAGCGACGAAGACGATTTGGACAACTTTTCCATGGTGTCCTCCCTGAAGGGTCCCAAGAACAGCCAAGTCCTTCGGAGTCCTGCCAAGGAAGCTCGGAAAGCCAGTCAAGCAGCTCCCTTGAACCATCCTCAAGTGCCCATGTCACCACCACCAGTCGAGACTGTGGAGATCTATGGGAACAACAATGCTCTGGTGGAACAGCCACCCCTGAGGCTGACATTGGCCGAATGGGGTCAAAGGAAGATCTCATGGGGTCGCAAGCACCCAGGCCGCACTTACTATCAAGTGCTGAGCGAGGACATGGGGTACTTCGAGTGGAGCCTGTCCAGGTATCATTCCCTTCCAGCTCCTCAACAAGATTTTGTAGATTTCTGCCGAGCCCAACTGGAAGCGAGTGCTGCTCAGGATCGGGGAGCCCATGCACTGAGTGTCCGACGCCTTGCATGAGCTTAGATGCCAACCTTGCAGGCATGATTGAATCCTGCAAGATTGAATGTTCACGTTTTACTCCCCACAAAGAGGAATTACAATACCAACATGTTTTGAAAACCAGTTTAGATGCTGCTCAACAAATCGCCGATGACGTTTTTGTTTCTGCACCGTCCATGAAAGATCCCAAGAAAACCCTGGTTGTTCTTGAAGTGTATGCGGGTGAGATGAGCCCTCTCACCGAATGCCTGCGAGAGTTAGGGATCAAAGCTTATCGGTTTTCTCGAAAAGATGGTGATTTGGCCACACCTTTGGGCCGTCGCCGCCTCTGGGAACTGATTGATGAAATTGAGCCAGACCACATTTTTGTTGCTCCTGAGTGCGGTCCTTGGAGTGGATGGAATCACCTGAATGCTCAGAAAAGCCTGGCCCTGTGGGACTATGTTCATAGCAAACAAGAGGCCGAGAAGATTCACATCCAATTGTGTGCTCAGTTATGTGAATACCAACAGAAACGTCATCACCATTTTCACCTTGAACAGCCGTTAGGTTCCTCCATGATCAATACCAATGAGTTTGAGCCGATTGCAAAACGCACCGAACGGGTCTGTTTTGACATGTGTGCATTCGGTTTGAAACTACCAAAGACCTCCAAGTTCATCAAAAAGCGAAGCCAATTGTGGACAACTTCTCCAGAAGTTCGACAATTTTTGACGAACAAAGACTGTCCCAAAAACCATGAACATGTCCAGATCGCTGGGTCGATGCGTCATGATGGAAAATCAGTTCGAATTTCCTCCTTTTGTGCCACATACTGTCAAGGATTTGTCCAGGCACTAGCGCAAGCTTTATGTGCAACCCATTTGGCTGCCGTCCAAGAAGCCTTTACAAATGACGATGAAGAACCACCAGCCAAAAGACTTCGTTTTGCCCCAGATGCTTTTAAGAAAAGACGTGTAGCCGCCGTGGATGCACCTGATCCATCTGCAGTTGATGCAGCAAGCTCTTGCGTGCCAGGACAAATTTTGTCCTCTGATTCACTGTGGCATGAAGCCTTCAAAATGGCTTATCGACTAGCTCCTCGAGTTGGCAATCTAAAGGTGGATGTTTCCCATGACCTTTGCGAACTCGTCCAACAACTGATACCCGAAGACTTTGAAGTAGACTGCATGTTCATTTGTCGTGGTACTGATAGATATCAAATACCATTGTCCGCCCCAGTATCCAAAGATGCTCCTTGGTGTTACACTTTATGTGCTCACCGTGTGACTGGAGAAATTCATGATTTAGGTCTGCGAGAATGGCACAGCCTCACCCGAGCTCAGAGAATTGCCAAAAATCTTCCCAGCCGGTTGACCCTCACCATTTTTGGTAGGAAAATACCTGCTAAGTCTGATGGTGATGTCAAGGCAATTGACCAACATGCCGATGAATCCAACTCGCAAGTCCGAGCTGTCGAGCAATCCCAGAGTCCGCCGAGCTCCACCGTGATGTGTGAAGGTTGGGCTCCACCACCCACGCCATTGCATGGTCCATGCTTCCGTGCGCTTGAGTCAGATGAGAAGAATCATCTAGTCAAACTACACAAAAACTTAGGACATCCAGACCCATCTGTGCTGTCGGCTCATTTGAAGACCCAAGGTGCACCGGAACATATTGTTCGTGCTGCTCAGGATTTTGTGTGCGATGCTTGCGTGGAGTCCCAAAAACCCCAACATCAGCGACCAGCCAAACTCCATCCTCCTCGAGAGTTTAATGATGTGGTAGGACTTGATGGTTTTTTCTGGAAAGGAAGAGGGAACATTCAGTGTTATGTTCTTCATATTTATGATGAAGCTTCTGGATTCCATCTTGCTCGTCGCCTTGATGGTCGCAACCTTGATCACGCCATACCAGCGTTTCAACAACTGTGGTCATTTTGGGCCGGATATCCCCGAAGTATATACCTTGATCCTGCAGGTGAGTTTAGGGCAGATCAGTGGCTAGATTTCATGCAAGCAAATAACATTCACACACACATGACAGCAGAAGCATGGCAGCGTGGCCGCATTGAACGCCACGGTGGCATTCTCAAAGACATGCTCACCAGACTTGATACCGATCACAGAATAGAAAACATGTCTCAATTTGATGAAATGCTCATGTTGTGTTGCCAATCCAAGAATGCACTGGCCAAACATCGCGGATACTCACCAGAGCAGATCGTTCTCGGCAAGGCGACACGCCTTCCAGCTTCGCTGAGCAGTGACGATTCAACTGCCGCCCATAGCCTTGCGTTGTGGGATGATCTTGACTGTGACAGATTTCGAAGTCTCCTGGAGAAAAGAACTAAGGCTCGACAGGCATTTATCCTGGCTGACAATGCTGATGCCTTGCGTAGGGCGACTTTGAGACAGTCAAGACCCACCCGTGGTCCATATTTACCCGGTCAGCTTGTGTTATATTGGACCAAGCGGGTCGTGCCCAATAGAAGTGAGTCCGGCAGATGGCATGGACCTGCCCGTGTCATTGTTCAGGAGGGTTCTTCCATTGTGTGGCTCTCACATGCCAACCGGCTGATCCGAAGAGCACCCGAGAGCCTTCGTCCAGCGTCGCTTAGAGAATGGAATGCTTTGCAGAATCAGAACCCAAATTATGAGAGTGCCATTCGTGACAACATGCACCAAATGCCAATTCCCCAGAACGTACCACCAATTGTGAATAATCAAGTTCTCCCAGATGATGATCCCTATTCACCGAGTATTTTAGATACTAATGATGCCCCACCAGATAACCAATCAGAACAACCAGAACACGAAGCTTCTCATCCACCAACCATTGACTCAGGAGAAGAAACTCCAACAGCTGCCACCGATGAGATTGAAACTGAACACCAAGAAGATGGACTTTTACTTCAGTCAGATGATAAATTTGACAAACCATGAAGATGTTGATCCTGAACAACCTGTGGAAGAGGCTCTCCATGTGTTTGATACGTTCTATCCTTCACAAGATGCCACAACCACGGAAACCATTTGTCTCGCTGAAGATGGCATGCCATACATTGACTCACCCCTTGATTGTAACACTGAAGAATGCTTCGTACTTGAAATACCCATGAAATCTGAAGATGTACAGGCATGGAACCAAGAGGTCAATCCTAGTGAAATGGTATGTGTTGCAGCAGCCGGACAAAGAGCGAGATCTGAAGTTCAAGTCAAATATCTCACTGACAGTGAACGAAAACTTTTTGATATCGCAAAGGACAATGAACTGTCTTGTTGGATTTCCACGAATGCTCTGCGTCCCATTCTTCGCAAATCTTTGAACCCGGATCAGATTTTGAAATCTCGTTGGGTTTTGACCTGGAAGAATGTTGAAGCAGATGACCAAACACCTGCTCACAAGAAAGCTAAGGCCCGACTGGTCGTCCTAGGCTACCAAGATCCCCAATTGACTTCCGTTGCCCGGGATAGTCCGACATTGACCAAAGAAGGCCGGAACACTATTTTACAATTGGTTGCTTCATGCCAATGGGATCTCATCAGCCTGGACATTAAAACTGCCTTTCTCCGTGGAAAAGCTGATGAACAGAATCCACTAGCCATGGAACCACCAGATGAATCGCGTAGAAAACTCCAGTTAAGTAAGGATCAAGTTTGCGCTTTGGTTGGAAATGCCTACGGCCGTGTTGATGCTCCACTGCTGTTCTATAAAGAACTTTCCAAACAACTGAAAACATTGAAGTTTCGTACGCACCCTCTTGAACCTTGTGCATTCATTTTGGAATCTGGTGAGGGCTCTCAGCGAAAACTTCACGGGGCTCTTGGCGTCCATGTGGACGATGGTGTGGGAGGTGGCGATGAATATTTTCACCAACAGATTCAAGCACTTTCCAAAGTTCTTCCATTCGGCAGTTTCAAAACTCGAAAGTTTGTGTTTACCGGTATTGAACTTGAACAGCTTCCAGACAGCAGTATCCGTGCCTCTCAAGCTGATTATGTTCATCGCATCTTGCCCATCGATATTGGTAAACCCCGCAGAGAACAGGCATCCAGTCCGGTAACTGATTCCGAAAAATCCAAATTACGCGGCTTGGTAGGCAGTTTGCAATATGCTGTAACTCACACCCGTCCTGACTTGGCTGCCAAACTTGGAGAGGTCCAGACTGATATGTCGAATCCAACGGTTCAAACTTTGATGCAGTGCAACAAGGTCCTTCGTGAAGCTCAGGAACACTCAGATGTCCAAATTTGTTTCAGAAGTATCCCAATGTCCCAAGTTACCCATGTTTCCTTTGGTGATGCGTCCTTTGCTAGCCCAAAACAACTCAATTCTTTTCAGGGAACCTTAATATGTGCCACGACGGTAGATCTCCAAGAAAATCGTGAAGCCCCAATATCTCCTCTTAGCTGGTCATCTAAGAAAATTGCCAGAGTAGTCCGTTCGACACTTTCAGCTGAGGCCTACTCCATGTCTCGAAGTGCAGATAGATTAGGATGGTTAAGACTTCTTTGGGGTGTGTTCACCATTGCCCAATTCCCATGGAAAGAACCTTCACTAGCCTATTCATGTTTGCCAGTTGGTATAATCACAACAGACTGCCGAAGCCTTTATGACTTGGTGAGCCGAACCGCAATGCCCCATTGTGAAGAGTACCGCACTACTCTTGAAGTGCTCCTGATCCGTGAACAGTGCCAAGACCATTGCATTTTCAGAGTGATCCCGACGACCATCATGCTGGCAGATGCACTGACCAAGGCGATGGACCCATCTCTACTCAGAACTGTACTCCAGAAGGGGATGTTTTGCCTGTTTGATGAAGCTTCGGTTCTCCGACAGAATGCCAATCGTAAACTTGCAGTGTCCTGGCTTAAAGAAAAATCACAGATCAATAATTCTTTCAGGGGAGCAATGCAATAATTCTTTTAGGGGAGTGTGAAAAGTGAACTTGACATGCATCATGTGCCTTGCATTGCACCTGACTCAGCAGCTCATATGAATCCATAGGCGCCCTGCTCAAGTACAGGGAAGCGGTGGGTGGGACAAACCTTCCGGTGCGAACGGTCCAAAAAGGCGCCATAGTGTCTGGGCTTGGAGGCCTTCATCTTGCGTGGTGGGATCCACTATTCCTTCATTTGATCTATATCAGTTGGGAACTGCTTCTTTGATCTTGTGGCTTGGGGCCACCTTTTCTCAGTTGGGAACTGACCATCCGTTGCCAGTGTGTGAGGGAGTGCCACCCCTTTCACATATATATATATATGTATATATATATATGTATATATATATGTATATATATATATGTTCATGATGAGGATTCCCATTGTGGGATGGACGACCAAATCTGGACAGGAAGCTGTTTAGCATTTTAGCGTCACAAGCACTGCAGGTGCTCTAGGTTTGGCTGAGAAGCTTCCAGCCAATGAGAGCCCAAGCTTCAGCACCGCACTGGCGTCTCCAATCGCAACATCTCCGATCACAACGATTTCAAGCCCTAGCGGCCCTAGCGGCTCGATGCATATGTGTAACTCAGGGCGTTCCTGGCCCTTGCATCATATGAAAGCATATGAAAGCAATGAAATGGCTGAAACATGAGAATATTCATGGTGGCGGCACTCTTCTCGAGCTTGCTGAGGTTTTTCTTGGTTTGAATCAACGAGAAGTTCTGGCACCGAAGCATTTCACAGGACAAACAAGGTGAGTTGATGTGAGATGTAGACTGAAGGACTGAGAGTAGGAAAGGGGTGTCCTTGTGACAGGCTTGGGGCCATGCCAACACTGCTCCTTTAGTTGGATCCTAAGTTGTGAGTTTCAGCACCTGTTCTTCCGATGTCATTGCGCGTTTGTGTGTCCGAATGAGTCCACTTCCCAGGCGGGAGTGGCTTCTTCGCCTGTGCCTATGAAGGGTTTTTTCACAGAGCCCAATTTGCTGGAACACGCGAAGCTCATCATTGCAGCAACACAGGCTGAATAGCACTGGATGGCACTGATGTGTCCATGTGATGTGTCGTGGGAGTTGTTTTATTGGTGAAAGAATGTTTGGGACACTTGGGCGTGCCGTAGCCAAAGGTTCATGGGCCATTTGTAAAGCAGCATATTTGCCAACAGCCAAGCCATGTCAATGCCTCTTTGTGCCAGGATAGTCCAGCAGCCAGCACTTGGCAAACACCATCGTGGGCTGGGTGGTCCCTCCATGTGCTTGAAAAGGCTTGCATCACTGTATCAATATTTATCGGTGCTGTCCACATTGTGTTAGGAGCTCTCTGAGTTCTCCGACGCCCACATGGTCGCAACCAGGCGCTTCTTAAGTTTCAGGCTATTTCAAGCCTTAGCAACCGTGCCTTCGTTAAATCACTGTTCTCCAGGCTTCGGAGATCCTGCACCAATCTATGTCCAGGCGGTTGGATGCAGAAAACTGCATGACACGTTTGACGGTTTTCCTCCAAGATCTTGAGGAGAACAGGGGCACTCAAAGAGCCAGGAGGAGTTCAGTCTGACACCCAATTGTAGAATATTATATATATATACAAAATCATTTTTGGTTGTTCCCTGCCTTTTCATGTCAAGAGACTGAGGCACCATCGCCTTTTTTCCCTTCTAACGATTTGATTGCCATGCACAAAGCAAGCCTGCGCCTGGGTGAAGTGCCACAGTGAGGGCAGCCCGTCAGCCCCGATGGGGTCTGAAGAAATGCAGGCTCTTGCTTGGCAATTTCGTTTGCCTTGCGAGCAGAGGATTTGTAATATTACCTGACAATCAAGCCGTGCATTTGTACATTACACACAGATGTTTAATGTTCAATTTTACTCAATTTGTTGCAGGATTCAATTGCTCTCTGCTCTCTGCAATACCGTTCTCACAGTACCCTTCCAGCTCCCTTGGAAAGAAGAGGCTGGCTCCCATGGATAATGCTTAAAAAACTTGCAGTCTCAGGGCATGATCAGTTGAGCTCGAGGGCACTGTCAAATTGGAATCAACAAAGGCCTGGCTTAGCAGCGCAAACATGTGCTGCTGATCCATGTGGAATCGTTACTGTGCATAGCGAGCCGTTCAGAGACATTGCGGCATGCAGATGCATTCCAACCTGTTTCTTTTGTATATTCATGGATGCTCGTGCCAATGTTCCGTCGTAACTCCTAAAAAATAAATATATCCCCCCCCTTTAACCCTGGATTTTTTTTTGGGGGGGGTAAGGCATGAAATTTCTGAGAAATATTTCACCTGACCACGTGAAATATACCTGCCCCACGTGTTTTTTTTGGGCTTCTAAAAGACGTGGGGGGGGTCCTCCGGATGCCACATTTTAGCCCAGAAACGGTATGACACACCATGACACACCCTTTCATTTTGAACATACATACATACATACATACATACATACTTTCATTCGTTCATATATATATATATATATACATACACGCATACATGTACTTAAATACATATATGTATATATATATATATATTTGGGGCACAAACATACTTACAGACAGGCTTATGAATATTGTATAAAACAATGAACTTTGCAAACAACCTTCAAAACATGACGTTAAACCTTGAATTCAACCACGCCCAGAGACCATTATAGACCAGAATTTTTGAACTGAAATATTTTAATTTAGGGAAATAAAATATTTCTAGGTATGGGGGGAAGACATATACATTATCTTATATTCTATATTTTATTATATATTATATATTATTTATTCTATTAAAAAGGAAGGAAAAAAAACATGAAAAAAATAAAAATAAAAAAAGAAAAAAAA